GAGAGAGAGAGAGAGAGAGAGAGAGAGAGAGAGAGAGAGAGAGAGAGAGAGAGAGAGAGAGAGGGTGAATAGGAAAATTGAAATATGGGTCATATTGAGGCTGTGATTTATTTCATAGCTGAAATGTTTTTTTTTTTTTTATCGAGTATTTTTGCGAGAAAGATCACAACAAAATCTACGAGTACTTCAATTTTCAGGTTTTTTCACGGATTTTTCTGAGCGCGAAAACTCACTGAGTTTGGTGTACATTTTCAATTGGCCCACACATGGCTGAATGACGAAAATTGAAAATATGCCGAATCGGTTCGATGATTATTTTGCAGTTTAAATGATTTTTTGAAAATGTTCTAAAATTTTTCATGGAAAGAATGACCTAATCTATTAATTTTTAAATTTTCAGATTTTTCTGCGGGTTTCTCCGAGCACAGAAAATTGCAAAAGTTGCGTCTTGCAAAACGTCTGTTTCGTTGCACGTGACCTCCCTGTTTTGGGAAGACGGACCTCAACACCTGGACCTGAGGATCCTTTTGCAGTTCTTAACCCTTAGGTTGTGGTATAGTGGGCTTCCGCGTCTGTGTCAAGGTGTCGCATTTTTGGCGGCGGGCGACCAGGACGCAAAGTGGGTTCTGAGGGGGCAAAAAAAATTGGGGTACCGGTCCTTGGCAAAGTTGCGGACTACCTACAACTAGCTTTGGTAGAACCGGGACTTTTGGAAAAATGAAGGACTGGTCCTCGGGTGGAAGTGGACCCCAAGTGGGGGGCGTTGGACCGGTCCTCGGGTAGAAGCGGACCCCAAAAACAAGTAAGGGCATGTGAACTGCAAAAGGGCCCTCAGGCCCAGGCGCTGAGCCTCGTCTTCTCAAAACAGGGAGGTCAGGCCCAACGAAACAGGCGTTTTGCAAGAGGCAACTTTGACGATTTTCTGTGCTCGGACGAACATGCACAAATATCTAAAATTTTGAGAATCCATAGATGAGGTCGTGTTCTTTCCAGAAATAATAATAGAATATTTACAAAAAAAAACATTTACACTGTGAAATAATCGCCGCGCCGATTCGGCATATTTTTTATTTTTTCCACTCAGCCATGCTTGGGCTAACTAAAAAAGTACTCCAAATTCAGTGAGCTTTCACTCTTAGAAGAATGCGTGAAAAAACCTGAAAATTGAAGTACTCGTAGATTTTGTTGTGATCTTTCCAGGAAAAACACTAAATAAATTTAAAAAAATCATTCCAACTGCAAAATAGATCGCGGCCGCAATTTGACCCATATTTCAATATTGTCATTCAGTCTTTCTCTCTCTCTCTCTCTCTCACTTGTATCAACAAACGGAACAAAACTCTCTCTCTCTCTCTCTCTCACTTGTACAACAAACGGAAAAAAACTCTCTCTCTCTCTCTCTCTCTCTCTCTCTCTCTCTCTCTCTCTCTCTAGAGTAGTCCCCGCCCCCCCCCTCTCTCTCTCTCTCTAGTAGGAAAAACACTAAATAAATTAAAAAAAATCATTCCAACTGCAAAATAGATCGCGGCCGCAATTTGACCCATATTTCAATTTTGTCATTCAGTCTTTCTCTCTCTCTCTCTCTCTCTCTCTCTCACTTGTATCAACAAACGGAAAAAAACTCTCTCTCTCTCTCTCTCTCTCTCTCTCTCTCTCTCTCTCT